TTTTTTGATGGGACTGGGGTTTGAACTCAGGGTTTCATGCTTGCAAAGCAGGCGCTCTACTGCTTGAGACACACCTCTGGTCCATTTTGGAGATAGGGGTCTCAGGAACTATTTGCCCAGACTTGTCTCAAACTGCGATCCTCCCAATCTCACATTCCCAAGCAGCTAGGATTTTAGGTGTGAGCCACTGACACCCGGCCCTGACTGATGTTCTTATAGATGACAACCATGTGAAGACAGACACAAAGAGAGCACTATGTGACAATGTAGAGTTGACAGGCTGGAGTTAAGCAACTGCAAGCAAAAGAATGCCAGAGATTGCTGACAGTCACCAGAAGCCAGGAAGAGGCAAAAGGTTCAGAGGGAGCCTGGCCCTGCTGACACCTTGATTTGGACTTCAAGCCTCCAGAACTGTGAGATGATAAGTTTCTGTTTTTGTCTTTTCTTTGTGGTGCTGATTGAAACCAGAGCTTTGAACATGCTAGTCAAGCATTGAGTTACACCCCCACCCGAAGAAGACAGACAGGGAGAGGGGTAAAAGAAAGGTGCATAAAGCTGGGGTGGTGGCACACGCCTCCTAGGTACTTGGGAGGCAGAGATCAGGATTGAAGCTCATGGGCAGCCCAGGTAAACACTTGAGACTCTTATCTAAAAAATAACTAAAGCAAAAAATAAGAAGAAGAAGAAGAAAAAAAAAAAGACAATGCAAGTGGGGAAAGTTAATTTGTAGAAGAGACATAGGAGAGAGGAGAAAGAGATGAAGATAGAGAGGAAGAGAAACAAGTCTGGCAGGACACAGGAGAGCTATTGGTGACAAGGAAATGTCACCAACCCTGGAGCGGCATCCAATCACAGTGAAGGATGTCCTGAGTATGCTGTCTGACACTGATTCAGCTAATGGATGTTGGGGAGGTTCTGTGTTGCCAGCGGCTTCTCACCTACTGACAACTTCCTCTGGAGCTGGGCCCAGCTTCCTGAACTCTCCAGATGAACTTGTCGTGGGGATGCAGTGGTACTTTGGGCTGTTGCCTCTGCTGAGAACAGCCAGTTCCTCTTTGTGGGGGCCTGCACAGAGGAAGCGAGCGGATGAGCTGGCTTGCGTCGAACCTTCTGCTGGCCACAAATGGGCCTCTTTAGCACCTGGTAGAGTGAGGGCCCAAGAAGGTAGAAGACAGAACAAAGGGTTAACAGGGACAGCAAATCAGGATCAGGGATAATATTTAGGATTTCCCTTCCACTGGTCCCCAAACCTGCTCCTGGGTGCTGGGGTGTGAGAAGACTCTGGAGATGCCTGGTCAAGTCCTAGCAGCTCAGGCTTACCCAGCTGGTGTGGGTTACACCCCAGAGTTGGCTCCTTTGAGTCCTAATAGGACCTTTCTTTCTTACCTAGAGAGCAGGGCCCCTTGGAACCCAGCAGATTGGTGGAGCAGGGACCCTAGACTTGAGGGCTGTGCAGGGAGGGAGTGCTCTGAGGTTCCTTTGGTCTTTAAGGTTCATGAGAATCCCATGGTTGCCCAGGACATTAAGGATGGGGTAAGTCCATTCCCCTTTTGCTCACTTTATCTGTAAAATAGGAGACATCTTGCCTTGCGTGGGTGTGAACATGGCAGAGGATTGGGGTCGTCAGGCGGCAAAGTACTGGGCTAGAGTGGTGAGTTTTTACTCTCTTTAGGGTTTGCCTTATTACCTTTTGCTGTGTAGCATGGAGCTGAGGACCAGGAGACCCTCTGGAGCGTTTTGGGTTTTTTTAAGTCATCAGTCAATTATAAAGCACCTACTATGTGCCACACCTACTATGTGCCACACATTGTGCTGGGCATCATGGAGACAGCAGTGACCAAGTCAGTCAAAACCCAATGGATGGAATTTACTGGAGCTAGGCTATCTGAGGGGAGGGCTTTGAGCTATGGAAGAATATTCCAGGCAACAGGGAGAGTCAGGTTTAAGGGCCAGCAGCAGGACAGGGTGCCTCACTGAGGGACCTGAAAAAAGGCCCAAATGGCGGGGTCTGCCTTACAGGAAGAACTGGGCAGAGTGCTCCCCACCCCAGGTACCTGGCTGCTCTAAGAAGGGGCAGCTCCCCCTCTTGGGGATAAGTGGGAGAATGGAAGGTTTCTGCTTTGGAAAGCTTCCTCCAGCTGCCTTGTAAAGAAGGGGTTGGAGTTGGGAGAAGGGAGGAGATGGTGGTTGGGTCTGGGGTGAGGGTGGTGGAGGTAAAGGTTTCTGCTTTGGAAAGCTTCCTCCAGCTGCCTTGTAAAGAAGGGGTTGGAGTTGGGAGAGGGGAGGTGAGGGTGGTTGGGTCTGGGGTGAGGGTGTGCTCTCCTAGCACACAGAGCCAGTGCTCCCAGTCTCTCCCAGTTGCCATGGATTAGGAGGGGAGGGGCGGGCGGGCTGGCTGCCGAGGGAATGTGGCTTTGTGCTCAGAAAACAAAGAACAGAGCCTGGGGCCCATTTCTCCTGGGGGTGGAGGTGGGGGCAGGCCTAGAGGCTGTTGACTGGATGGGACTGGAAGAGGCTGAACGTTTAGCTGGGCAGGATCAGACTGTGCCCCCAGGATCAGGGAGGAGGCTGGTAGGTACCCAGCTGAGGGGCCTCAGAGCTGTGGGGTTACTGTGTTGTCAGGGGAGGCAAAGGACAGAGTAAGAGGGATTCTTAAGCCCCTCCTGTCTGGAGACCCAGGTCCTTGGAGGGAATTTGAGCAGAGACTGCCCTTGGCTGTACAGTTGGGACAGGGTGGAACCACAGATGTGTTTGGGAGCATGGAGGCCCTTGGGGCTCTATGAGGAAGGACAGAAGAAGGTTCCTGGGACCTCCGGTACCTTGACAGTCACTTGTCTATCCCCCAGCTCTGCTGCTGAAGCCCTACTGTCCCCACCTCAACGTGGGGGCCCACCAGGATGAGCAAACTGCCTGGGGAGCTGACCCGGGACTTGGAGCGCAGCTTGCCAGCTGTGGCCTCCCTAGGCACATCACTGTCCTGCAGCCAGAGCCTGTCCTCGCATCTCCTCCCACCACCTCCAGAGAATCGCAGGGCCATCTCTGATGTCCGCCGCACCTTCTGCCTTTTTGTCACCTTCGACTTGCTCTTCATCTCCCTCCTCTGGATTATTGAGCTGAATGTGAGTGGGAGCAAGGCTGGGGGACAGGCCCTGTTGGGGGTCACCAGACCACAGTTTGTCCATATGTTACATGGGAGGGTAGATGAGGTTAGATTATCTGGGTAAAGTGAAGAATGAGAAATAAGAACAGCTGTTGTCATATTCCAGATGAAGAAAATGAGATTCAGAAGGGTTGAGTCACTTGTCCCAGGCTTCTTAGCAAGTTTGTAAAGGAGGCCAGTTGAACAGACTCTGGTTCCAGAGTTCTGCTCTTGGCCTCTGGGCCATACTGCCCCCTAGTGGGAACTCCTGGAACAGAGGAAGAGAATGGTCTCTAGCTGAGCTTGATGAAACTTTTATTTTTGCCCTATGTTGCTCTTTGGCTTTAACTTATGTATCCATTCATCCAGTTATCCATTCATTCTTTCAGCAGACATTGTTTGAGCCCAGTTGTCTCCAAGATACTGTGCTAAAAGCAGAGGGTACAGTGAGGAGAAAAGTCAAAACTCCCATTCCTGGTGTTCCTGGTTTTGGTGAGATGCTGCCTAGCAGGCTGGAGACAGAACTGCCTTATAGCATAGGGTCCACACTCCATCCTCACCCTATGCAGTGTTTGCCCCACCCTTGGGCCTGACCTGTCCTCAGTGCCCACAGAGGCAGGAGCCCTGAGAGCAGGGTGACCCAGGAAAAGTCCTCAGCTCTTCCTCTGTTAACTGTGTTACGTCAGCACCTTGGAGCCTCCTCCCGCCTTTTCCTGCCACAGTGTGAGCTCACCATCAGAGTTCTGGAGGACAAGGGGCTTTTCCTCAAGGTCTCTGACATGGGCAACAGGAGAGCAATACCTTTCTTGAGAGAAGTGAGGTGTTGGAGGAAGGGACTGGTTGAGGGACAAAGAGAACTAGTTTGATTCTGGACGTGTTAAGCTGGAGGGAAAGGCAGGGTTCGGAGGTGGACAACTGTTCTCTGCGCATGGGAGATGAGTGGGCACCATCAGTGAGATAGACCCATCATCATGGAAGGCCTCAGGGTCACTTTACCAATGAGAAAGCTGAGGCCAAGCAAGATTTTGGCCTTTTGCAGAGCCCCGGTGGTCTGAGGCATTTTCATTTTGAAGGTCTCAACTAAGATCAAAGCAAACACTGAAATTTACCCCCACCCTACATTTAATACATGTTTTGTAACGAAAGAATAGCTGAAAAATGTTGATAATTTTACTTTTGAAGTTATTTGGCTGTCATCTGTGACTGCTTCAGCAGTCATTCATATTTGAGAATTCTTGCAAAGTGAGAGAATCTAACCTTCAAATTGTTTTCAAATGCAGTGAAAAATTTCAGAATATTGAATGGAATTTTAAGTAGTGTTGATATGTTTCACTTGGCAGATGTTTAATGAAAAATTTATTAATTTCCAATTTTGTAGTTTTATTTTCATATTTTGAACTTTAAAAAAATTTTTGGTGGCACTGGGGACAGAACCCAGGGCCTCAAGCATACTAGGTAAGAGCACTGCTGCTAAGCTACATGCCAGCTCTATATATTTTGGATCATATGTATTTTTAGTTGTTTGATGGACTGTGTCTATGTTGTCCAGTAAGGTTATGTGCCGGGTTTTACAGTCAGAGACTGGCAAAGCAGAGACTAAAACGCTACTCTCATCAGTCCTGATCCATCCAGTGCTGGCAGGTACCCAGGCTTTAGGAGAAGACCATGGAGTTCAGATCTTTGACAGACTGTGACTGCTTGGGATGAGAAGAGCTGTGGAGCCCAAGAGGGTGCAATGTGAGGAGCCAAAGGAGGGCTGTGGTGAGGTAGTGGGATCAGGAAACAGAGTGTCAGAGTTTTTGGGACTCAGTGGTCTTGAGGTAGAGGTAGGCACATGGTGGGAATGTGGAAGGGCTGTCCAGCCTGCCAGCCCACTCCCAGCCTCAGAATCACAGAGCTGTTTTGCTTTGTTTTGTTGAGACAGAGTTTTGTGATGTATCCCATGCTGGCCTTAAACTCAAGATGCTTCCTCCTTACCCTCCCAAGGGCTGGGACTGTAGGCATGTACACAGCGCCTGGCTTACTTGGGAGCTTGATAAAGATTACGGATGCTCAGCTCATCCTAAGATTCAGATGTAGTGGCCTGATCCGTGTCCTAACAAGTCCTTCCCCAAATTTGGATGACCTGCCAGAGATCAGAAGCCCCAGTCTAGGTGGTTGTTAAGAGTCTTCTTGGGGGCTGGAGACATGGCTGAAGTGGTAGAGCATTTGCCTACCAAGTGCAAGGCCCTGAGTTTAAGTCCCAGTACCACCTGAAAAAAAACCAAAAAAACAAAAAAATGTCTTCTTGGACTCCATCCCCAGAGTTTCCTGTGTCTTCGCTTCTCCAAGGGACTAGCACTCCCATCCTTTCTGAGGAGTTAGACTGCAGTCTGGCTCTCAGAATCCATCTAGACTCTCTTCCCTCCCAGACCCCTGAACAGTGGAGTCCAGGCCTAGATCAATAGGGGTCCTACTGAAAATGTGTGGGGGACTGGGGCAGAGGCAGGAGCCAGGACAGGTCTGCCTACTTTCTATGCTGTCTTCTCCAGCAGCGTGATGGATTTTTCCCATTAAGCACAAACCTAATCAATTGATTTGCCACCTGGGGCTCTGTCTGACACCACTATCCACCTGGCCCCAGTCCCCCAGATAGATAGTTGGCTGGAAAGATAGAGCACCATGGTGCTGGGAGGCAAATGGAATTATATGAGGTAGGCTAGGTCCATCACCTCTCCAAACAGCCAGAGGCGTCCAGATCTGCCCCTTTCTGGGCAGTGTACTTGAACTCAGCCTTGCTGATCCTTGAGGAGCAATGTTAGTGCCTGAGGTCTTGGGCTTCTGGCCAAGCTCCCTTCTGCCTCAGGGGCTCCTTTGGGTGGTGGTTTGGTATTTATACCTCTCCTCCACAGTCTCCACTCTTGCCTCCTCCCCATTTTAGGAGGTGGGTTAGGAGCAGCCTCCCCTCTCCCCACCCTTAGTTCTAGCCACAGATCTTGTCTTATCTTCTCTTCGCAGACCAACACAGGTATCCGCAAAAACCTGGAGCAGGAGATCATTCACTACAGCTTTAAAACCTCCTTCTTTGACATCTTTGTGAGTGGCCAAGGGGGATCCTGGGACCCTGGATCCTGGGCTTAGAGGGCTTGAAATGCCTAGGTTCTCTTTTTTCTGCAACACATATCCAATCTGACCACAAAGACTGGGAAACTCAGCTCATATCCTCAGTCTTCAAGAGGCTCCTCAGTGGGGCCCCACCTTCAGAGAGCCCCAAGTGGGAGCAGGGAGACAAAACCCCTATTCAAGAAGGCCCTATCCAAATTGTGCTAAAGAAATGCTGACTCAGCCCATTGTCTCCTGAGAGTGTGCTTATGGAGGGAGAGCCTGGGTGGCAGGACCAGAAGGGAGGTCACTCTGTAGTGGGGATGGGTGCAGAAGCTGGCCTCTGATGGCCTGGTACCTTCTTGCCAGGTTCTGGCCTTCTTCCGCTTTTCTGGACTGCTCCTTGGCTATGCCGTGCTGCGGCTCCGGCACTGGTGGGTGATTGCGGTAAGATGCCACAGTTTGCGGCAGTTCTGGGGCTCTGGTGGGGGCGGGTGCAAGGGGTGGGATGGAGGAAGACTCACTCCCCAGTGTGTGCCTTTCCTCTTGCTCCCCTTCCCTCTCCTGCAGGTTACTACATTGGTGTCCAGTGCATTCCTCATTGTCAAGGTCATCTTGTCTGAGGTCAGTGACTCAGGGTCTGGCTGGTCTGGGCATCTGGCCTAAGGGATGAGCTTCTTTTAAGAAAGGCTCATTCTCTGCTTTGGGGTATCTGCCCCTGTTGTTTGGGTTGGACTGAAGGGAATTCTGTCCTCTGATATTTCCAAGGAATCAAGCCCACTATCTTTTCCCACCTATCGTCCTGCCACCCTAGGAGTCAGTTCTTCTCGTAGCCTAACCTCAGTTTATCCTGCTGCAGACTTAATTAATCCATCTCAGAGACATGTGCCACAGAGGGTCCCTGAACAGCTGGTACCAGGAATGGGATGTATTCCAGTTTGGCCAGAGCTGGTGGCCACTGGGGAAGTATCTGGGTTTGGGGTGACCTCTGCCATGAAACTCAGCCCCCTTCCTCTATCATAGCTGCTCAGCAAAGGAGCATTCGGCTACCTGCTCCCCATCGTCTCCTTTGTCCTCGCCTGGTTGGAGACCTGGTTCCTCGACTTCAAAGTTTTACCCCAGGAGGCTGAGGAGGAAAGATGTAAGGGGGGGGGGTTGGGGAGCTAGGATCTGGGTTCAGTGAGGGTGATCCCAGCCCCAAGAAAGGAGAGTTTGCAGGCATGAGAGTGAGGTCTGTGCCATCTTTTCCCCTCCCAGAGCCTGAGGGTGAGCCTGAGTGGGGAGGGGGATCCAGGGTGCAAGAGCATGCTCTTCTTGGTCTGGGATGATGGTCCATGTCTCCTCCCCCAGGGTATCTTGCTGCCCAGGCTGCTGTTGCCCGTGGACCCCTACTGTTCTCCGGTGCTCTCTCTGAGGGCCAGTTTTACTCACCCCCAGAATCCTTTGCAGGTGAAGGCTGGTGGGTGGGGGAGTTGCCTTCAGGGAGGGGCTGTGTGAGGATCTGGGGAGGCTGGGTCTGTTCTTTCTGTTCTGTCAGGCTCCCTGGGGAAAGCCAGCAACCCTCTCCCACGCATCCTTAGCCCCACATCCTTGCACTCGCATCCCTGAACCCACCACCTCCTACACTCTCTCCTCACCCCTTGCCATTGTCATCTGCGCTTGTTTTCTACAGGGTCTGACAATGAATCAGATGAGGAAGTCACAGGGAAGAAAAGTTTCTCTGCCCAGGTATTTGGCTGCCCACCCCCACCCTACCTGGAGGTGGGCACCAGAGAGGGGACAAGGCAGGGCTTGGCTAGGGTGGGCAGTTTCCCTGCAAGGACAGACCTCAAGGTCCATCTGTCAGGACCATCTAGTCTGCCTCATAGCTGGGGACACAGGAGGAGCAGCCAAACCCACAGGCCTCAGGAAGCCTGAAGGACCCAGGGACACTAGTCCAGACCTCACATCCAGCTGGGCCAGACTTCTCTGGGAAGAGTGCCTGGAGAAAGAACAGGCCACAGGCAAGATGGGGGACAAGCTCCAGGCTGACCACCTCCCATCTCTTAACCCTGGCTAGGAGAGGGAGTATATCCGCCAGGGGAAGGAGGCCACCGCAGTGGTAGACCAGATCTTGGCCCAGGAGGAGAACTGGAAATTTGAGAAGAATAATGTAAGGAGAACCTTTCCCACCTGACTCTCCTGCATGTGTCAGCAGTTTTCATTCCTTTTTCTGAGGCTTGGGAAATAAACCAAGGATTGCTGTAACCATATGGATGTAACCATATTCCTGCCCCAGGATAGGGGGATGAGCCCTTGGGTAGGCCACTGGGTAGGAGGCTAGGCTGGATTAGACATTCCTCTGTTTCCCCCCTTCCATGGCCCAGTCCTCACCTCCCTGCTGATTGACTTCCTCAGCTCCAGGCTTTGAAGAGAAAGCCAGGCTCCAGGGTCTGCCCTGTGTCCAGTGTTTTGACTCATTATCAAAACATTATCTAAACAGACCGCAGAGAGCTTGGAAAATGGGAAACATGCCCCAGTCCTTCTCTGGCCAGTTTCTCTGGTGGCCCTTGGTGGTCTGGCGATGTGGTTCTGGTTCATTGTTGTTGTAGCCAGAGCTGCAGCTGCACTCCTATCCTTTTTGTTGTTTGTTTTGGCAGTATTGGGATTTGAACTTAGGGCCTTGTGCTTACTAGGCAGGCACTTTACCACTTGGGCCACACCCCCAGTCCTGCTCCTATCTTTCAAATGGCAGCAGAGCCTCTTTCCTCATGGCCATGCTTAGAACCACTTTGTTTTGATGGCTGCTCAGATGTCCCCAGACTCCTAGAGTTTCCTACCCTGAGCTACTGGAAACCTGCCCTGCCTGTCATCCATTCTTGTGCCACCAACCCATCTCCTATGCCCTCCAACCACCTCCCTACCACCTTCTGTCCCTGCCACAGGAGTATGGGGACACTGTATATACCTTTGAGATTCCATTTCATGGCAAGACCTTCATTCTGAAGGTAAGTGAGGCAAGGGGGGTCCTGGAGCATACCGTTCCCTCTGGCACTCCAGGAAAGGACTAAGGGACCTTGGCAGGTCCCCCAGCATAGGGAATGTCTGGGGTGCCCTGGTTCCTCTGGCACCACACAGCCCTTGGCCTGCCCTGCCCAGACCTTCCTGCCCTGCCCTGCGGAGCTGGTGTACCAGGAAGTGATCCTGCAGCCTGAGAGGATGGTATTATGGAACAAGACAGTGACCGCCTGCCAGGTGAGCCAGCCTGGGCCCTGCCTGGTCACCTCACCACATGGGTCATGGAATAGTCATGCTCCCATGGGACCAGTTACAGTCACTGACTGGAGTACTGAGCCCCACTGTACCTTGGCTACTCCTCTATAAAATGGATGATGCTCATGCGCCTTTGGAGAAGGCTGGGTGGACAGGAAGCAGTGTGCCCATTGAGCGTCCAGCCCAGGGCCCGTGGGTGGTGATAACTCTTAGTATAGAGCTCCAGGCAGGGAGGAGGCTGGCCTGGGGGTTCCTGAGATGTTGGGGCTGCTGGGGTTTCTGTGGAGTGAGCTGCACCTCACTTCTCCTGATGGGCCTTCAGATTCTGCAGCGGGTAGAAGACAATACCCTCATCTCCTATGATGTGTCTGCAGGAGCTGCGGGTGGTGTGGTCTCCCCCAGGTGAGCACTTCCAAGCCCTCTTTTGTCAGCCAAGCCTCCTGACCCCAGTCCTGGGTTTTGCACCCTCTGTTCTAACCCTCCCACCCTCAGGGACTTTGTGAACATCCGGCGCATCGAGCGGCGCAGAGACCGATACCTGTCATCAGGCATTGCCACCACACACTGTGCCAAGCCCCCAACACACAAATATGTCAGGTGAGCCTGGTCTTGCCCAGGGCCATCCCAGCCAATCCCTCCCCCAGGAGCAGTGAGCAGCTCAGGGCCTAGCGTGTGTAGCTAGGTGTTTTCCTCTGCTGAGGACACATTCCTGCTTCCTGTCCTGCTGGGCCTTGCCCCTCCCGCCCTAATCCTGCTAATCTCACTGACTGGAACCAGGCTACCAAGGCGGGACGGGACTGTGTCGTGAGCAGCTACCCCGAGAGAGCGTTGGCGAGGACTAGTCCAGGGAACGGGGCTGAGGAGCCATGAGGTTGCACTGGGCTCTGAGTTAGGGATTTCACCTTCCTGCCTCAGGGATCCTTTTTGGATTCTCTGTCTTCCTCCTGCCCTGTCCCCTCTGCCTTTCCTTTGTCCTAGATGGTACGGAAGTACCCTTAGAGGATGAAGTGTTGTGTCTTCCCGCTACCTGTCCTGGCCTCCTCCTGGCACTCCCTGCAGGCAGTTCAGGCTTCATTGCTGGGGGCACACAGGGTACAGAGAGCACTCTTCTTGGAACATGAAACTGGGGCTCTGTCTTGGCACTGGGATGAACTTGCCCAGTGCTGGGGCAACAACTTCACTGTCTGTGTAGTAGACTTAAGTGTGCCCAGTGAAAAGACCACAGGAAGTAAACCCCGTGCCCAGGCCCTGGCTGCCCTCTTCCAGAGCCACACTGCTGTTCCCTGAGTTGAGCAGGGGTGAGAAGTACCACCCCAGGCCATGCTCATAGCCAGAGCTGGTCTTGTATCTCTGGACAGAGTGGATGATGGCTGGGCAGGTGGTGAGCTCTCTGCCACTAGCACTATGCCAACACCAGCAGACTGAGGTGAGAGGATTTGAGGCTGATCCTGCAGCCTTGGGATGCCAGATCTGAGCCCCAGAGAAGGGTGGTGGTTTCTAGACTAGCATCTTCGCTCCTCTTCCACCACAGTTCAAGTTGGGCCAAGAATGGAGGTGGGGTTCAGGGGTCTTGCTCAGTCTGAAGCCCTCCTTCAATGGTGCCTCTCTCCTTAGGGGAGAGAATGGTCCTGGGGGCTTCATTGTGCTCAAGTCGGCCAGTAACCCGCGAGTCTGCACCTTCATCTGGATTCTTAACACAGATCTCAAGGTGAGGTGCTGAGAGTTATGAGGTGGGCATTGGGGAATGAAGGGCACTCGCCTGTTACCTTGATTGCTGTGTGACCTTGGGGGTTCTGCCCTGCTCAGGGCCCCCTACTTTCAGCTTTCTTTATTGAGGATTGGCGTTCTGGTCCAGATGGTCTTCTAGCTCTAAGTTGTAGGAAACATGTGCGCCACCCCCCCCAGCCTTCTTACCTCTCCCAAGGCCCCAGGAAGGGTGGCTGAATGCCAGTCCAGCCCCACTCAGGTCTGTTTGTGTGGCTGGTGCCAAGAGCCAGGCACAGAGTGTTCTTCCCGCCAGCGGTGAGAGGAGGGGGGCCCAGGCGGATTCCAGAGTTCCACCTGCCCTCTGGCCTGAGGCACTCCTGCTGGTGTGAGCTGCAAGGGGGAGACCCTGCCGAGGGCAAACTGTGGTGTGACTTCTTTCTGTCTTCCCTCAGGGCCACCTGCCTCGGTACCTCATCCACCAGAGCCTTGCAGCCACCATGTTTGAATTTGCCTTTCACCTGCGGCAGCGTGTTGGAGAGCTGGGGGCCCGGGCATGACCATGTCTTCTCGTCCACCCTGCAGGCCAGGGTCCTGTCACCACAGACTCCAGAGCTGAAAAGGGGAACTGGTTGGGCTTCCTCCTACCCATGGAGATCCACACACTAAGCAGCAGGGGGCACCTTGGTCCCAAGCTGCCCCCCTCCACTGAGCTGTACTGCCTGACAGCCATGGCCCGAGCAATTGCAGGGTTGAACACTTGGACTCTGGGGCGCCACTGGCTCTGAAGGAAGCAGTCTGTCCTGCTGATGTTTGCACAATGCCCCTGCCTCCCAGAGGAGAAGATCCCTGTCCCCTGCCTTGCCAGGGACAGGGCTGGGCTGGGAACCTCAGACTTAATTACCCATGGGGAGGGGAGAGCCGGGTCCCTAGGCAGGACAGAGCAGGGCACCTTGCCTCCAGTGTTAAGGTGGAGTAGCCTTTCTTCTGCCTGCTCTTGTCACTTTTTTTTTTTTTTTTTTTTAGGATTATTTAAAGGTCTGTGACCTTTTTCCATACGTACTTATGGGGGAGTGGGAGGTAGGTTGGTGCCACAGGTGCTGGCAGTGCATCTCTGCCTCTCCCAGGTCTTCCTCATCTCCCCACGGCCTCCGTGGGGACCTTTGTAACTTGAGCCGATTAAAAACATGAACTGAAAAAAAACAAAATTCGGTCTTTCCTGCTGCTATGCCATGGCCTTAGCTTTGGCTTCAGCCTCATGCCTACTTTTGAGGGCAGAGCAGGGCAACACAGGCAAGGAGGGGGCTGCTGCCCACACAGAAACCACTGACCCTCTCACCAGCTGACCCGAGGGAGCTGATGGGAGCCAGTTTCTGGGCCCTTTCTCCCCAAGTGGTTCACCTGAGCTGACCACAAGCCTCAGGGAGGGCAGGCTAAGGTTTGCAGCCTAGGGTGGGAGGTGGGAGAGGCACCTGTGAGCACCCACAGGCAGGCCTTGACTGTCCCGAGGCCAGGGGTGCCTGGAAGTGGGACTTGGCTTTCTGGGTCATTAAGGTACCTGTGGAACCCCCAGCCACCCAGAACCGTGAGCCTTAGGCTTTACTTGCCTGTCCCTTTTGCCCCCACTGCTCTCACACCAGGGGCAGCTTAGAGTCTGGGATCCAAGCAAGGCCAGAGCACCCTCTTTTCCTCTCTGCTTGCTGCCTTGCAGGCTTCCAGAAGAGCCAGTTGGCCTAGAGGCAGATGGATTCTGTCTTGGTCCTGGCTAGGTGTGTGACCCTGGGCAAGTCTACTCTGAAATGGAGATTTCCTACTTTGTAAAATGGGACCAGCAGCATACAGCTGTGAGATGAAAGGAATCTTGAGTGGGCCAAGTGCTTGCAACCAGTGTGTAGTTCTGCACCTGCTGCAGCCCCTGTCACTGCCTCTTCTGGTGCCCTTCTCTCCATCCAGTCCTTGATGCCCTCATTCCTCTTTCCCCCCACGCATACCACCCTGTACACTGACTGTCTTCTTGCACCATGAGTTGCTCTCTTGAATTGGAGCCCCTGGGTTCCCATTTTGGGGAGCTGGTGGTTCAACTGGGGGCCACCTTCATACCTGCCCTCTCCACCCTGACTGGCTGACCTAGGAGACCTCTTCTCAGACCACTGGCCATGGGGAAGGAAAGCACCTGGCAGAGCTTCATGCTCCAGGGATCCAGGTGAGGCATTAACATCCACTCCTCCTGCTGGTGTGGCCGTGGTGGTTGGTAACTAGGGTCAGACGCCTAAGTACATAGCTGCACTGTTCCTTCTGACTGAGGGGCCCAGCTGGGGGATGTGCCCTTGAGCTCAGGAGGGAGGGACCTAGCAGCCCTGGAACAGACCGAAGGGGCATCATTCCCTGCTGTCTCCTGCTCTGTTTATAGACAAGCTGCTGTCCTTCCTAGGCAAAGGGGGAACAGGGCAGAGGACAGTGCCAAGGTGGCACGAGGCTGGGCATGTGCCTGGTGAGATGGAGTCTGTAGCGTGTCAGGTGTCTGGAGGTGCTGCTTTGAAGACCCCAGCTCCCACCAGAGCATCCTGACCCCTTCAGAAGCTGATCTCTGACATGGGGGCAGCCAGAGTCCAGGTACCCCAACCCTCGCCCTAACTCAGAGCTGCCCCATCAGTGAGTCTTGGCTCCATTTTTAGTATCTGACGCCAGAAGGGCCAAAAATAGCCCCTGGAGAAGGGGGAGAAGGGGATTATTTAAAGGGCTCAGGAGGAGTGGAGCAGAGCAAAGGAAGCAAGAAGTGATCATGGCTACTGCAGAGCTGAGCTGCCAGGTGTCCGAGGAGAACCAGGAGTGCAGGGAGGCATTCTGGGCTGAATGGAAAGACCTGACTCTGTCCACCCGGCCAGAGGAGGGGTGAGTGTGGGTCAGCTGGGAGTCCTGCTTCTGCTCCCCCAAAGCACCCTCCCTGAGCCATATGAGGCCAAGCCACAAAGCCCTGAAGTTTCCAGGCGTTGGGGTAAGAAGGGTGACCACTGGACAGAGCAGAGTGGAGTCATCCTCCTACCACCAGGTCCTGGTGGTCCCAGGGAGCACCTACCCAGCCTGAGCATGAAGGCAGCAGTTCTTGGGAGCTCACTGCCTTTTCTCCATTTCCAGCTGTTCCCTGCATGAGGAGGATGCTCAACGGCAAGAGACCTACCACCAGCAGGGACAGTGTCAGGCCTTGGTGCAGCAGTCTCCCTGGCTGGTGATGCGTCTGGGTATCCTTGGTCGTGGGCTGCAGGAGTACCAGCTGCCCTACCAGCGGGTGCTGCCACTACCCATCTTCACCCCCACCAAAGTAGGGGCTGCCAAGGAGGAGCGCGAGGAGACCCCTATCCAGCTGCGGGAGCTGTTGGCGCTGGAGACAGCCCTGGGTGGCCAGTGTGTAGAGCGCCAGGATGTGGCTGAGATCACCAAGCAGCTGCCTCCTGTGGTGCCTGTTAGCAAGCCTGGGGCCCTTCGTAGAACCCTGTCCCGCTCCATGTCCCAGGAAGCACAGAGAGGTTGAGAAAGGACTGTCTCAGGCTCCACTGTGCCCTCTCTGGGCTGGGCCCTTCCTGGCTAGAACCATGGAGCTGTTGGCTGTGACTGCTTTGTAGTTTGCCCAGAACTGGGGGCTATGGGAGGCGGGAGCCAGAGGCCAGGATGTCTGGGTCCCCTGAACTCCAAAAGGGAAGAGAGAAAAGATGGTGGGCACTAGAGATGAAGAGCTGGGGGCCAGCACAGCCTAGCACCCTCAGCCCCAATAGAGACAAAAGATGCTAGTGAGGGAAAGAGACCCCTGGGAGCAATGGCCTGGTCCAGACTGCAGCTTTGGAGAAGGGCTAGGACAAGCATGAGAGGATCTGGAATGTTCTGGGAAGGAAACTTGGAGACTGGAGGGAGGGGGATGTGAAGAGGGCAGAAGCAGGGCTGGGCCCCCAGCACCCTCTGTTAGTACTGCAATAAATGCTCAACCATGTTTCAGTCTCGTCTCTTTCCTTGTGGTTGTGGGGGCCAGTCCATTAGTGTGTGTCCCCCACCACACACACACAGACACTTCTGGGAATGGCCCTACATCTGAGCTAAATATGGCAGAGCCAGAGATTACCCCCCATGCTTGGAGGTGGGGTGCAGGGAAGAGCTGTAAAGTAAACAGGGTGGCTGTCTGGTCCCCTTTGCATCTCCTGACTCTGCTGTCCAGTCCTGGCCTCCGTCCAGCTCCTGGCACTGGGTGGTGCCCAGCAGGCCAACTGGCATCAGGATTTGTTTAAATGATATCTCATGGAGAATATGAAGGAGGCTGGCACTAGGAGTGTCCTTGGCTGTGCTTGGGGGTGTGGATGGGGTCAGTGACCCCAAAGCCTCTCAGTTGTAAATCCAGACAGAATCAATCCTTGGCTGGGGTCAGGCGCTCCACCCTCCCTGGCCTGGGTTGGTTGTGCGGGGGGAGGACAGGGTCAGGTTCCTGTCTGTGACCCCTGCAGCTGTTGTGATGACTCATGTCCCAACCGGGCTGCCTGGCTCAACAAGGAGACTTTCCCCTTGGGATAAGAAGGGGCACAGGAGGCCCGTATCAAAGGAAGCCAGGGGCCCATCTTGACCGAGGCTGGTAGCTTATCCAGGGCAGAGGGGTCTCTCTTTAGGAAGACCATGGACATGTGACCGGCAGAATAGTGTCCCATTTGAGGGGGCACAAGGAAATACCCTTGCATCTTGCAGTGCCTCAAAGGGAGTGGGAATGTGGACTGGGAGAGAAGGGTCAGAGACCCCAGGCCCGCGGGACGCCAAATACACGGGCTGTGCCTCCTAGTGGCCATGGCAGCGCGGAGAACACGCTCCGCGGTCACCCGAATCCTGTGTCCCGGACCTGAAAGGAACATCCCGAACTTTCCGCGCTGGGCAGCCCCCAGATAAGCAGCTCCGCGCCCTAGGGGCCCGCAGCGGAGGCCCGGCTGTTCCACCTGCTAAGTGCATTAGCCCCACTCACCTCCCCTATCGCTGCTGTCATCGGACAGGCAGGCTGAGCCCGACTCCGGGTGTCCTCCCCCCGCGGGGGCCACAGCGGGGAGAGGCCGGAACGGAACGGATTGTCCTTTGGAGGGGGCACTAGAGGACCGGGATGGGACAGAGTCCTGGACGAGGGCCAGAGGAGAGTTGGGGTGACATTACTAAGGAAAGGGTGGCTGCTGTAAGGGGTGTCCCGGAGGAAGGGGAGCCGCCAGGATTCTGGAGCCTTGGAGGGAGGGCGCTGGGAATTGGGGAGTGGGAACAGGGGCTAATAATTCAAACCTTGGGGAAGAGAAGGGATGGTGTACTTGGGAAAGGGGGTGAATGGCTGCGGGGAGGTGGAGAAGAGAGGAGCCGGACGACGGGGGCAGCCGGATCGGGAGCTGAGGTGGGGGCGCGGCGGGGGACTGGGACCCAGCAGGTGAGGCCGAGGGTGGAGATCTGCGCGAGCGAGTGCGGAGCGAGGTGGGGCGGGAACTGATGTTCCAGCGGCCGTCCCCCGCGCCCCCAGCATGTCTGCTGCTGGGACACTAACGGAGATGGATGGGGTGGCTGACGCGGTGCGCGTGGCCCGGGGCAGCTCGTTGCTCAGCCGCCGCCCCCGCAGCGGAGGGGTCAGGGTGGGGGTCCAGCAGTGGATAAAGGGGCTGTGAGGCTGGAGGGGGCAGGGCAGGCCGCGGCAGCAGCATGAGCAGAGCAGACCCGAGTCACATTGCGGGCTCTGCCTACGACTCGGACCCCGGCCAGGCGGCGGTCGCCTTGGCTTACCAGCGCTTCGAGCCCCGCGCCTACCTCCGCAACAACTATGCACCACCTCGCGGGGACCTGAGCAGCCCGGATGGCGTTGGGCCTTGGAAACTGCGCTGCTTGGCCCAGACCTTCGCCACCGGTGAGCACAGGGAAAGAGGCACTAGGGATAAAAAAGTCACCAGGGTCAAGAGAGAAAGGAGAGTGCGCCCTGGCGAGTGCTTCAGATGAGGACCAAGAAACAGGTAGCTAACAAATGCAAAGAGGTAGTCCAGCATGGTGCTACATGCAACCGTGTAGTTAAGAGCTACTGGGAAAGTTGAGGCAGGATGATTTCTTGAACCCAGGAGTTCCAGGCCAGTCTGGGCAACATAGTGAGACCCCACCTCTTAAAAGAAAGTGGAGGAGGAGGAGGAAAGAGAAGGCAGGGTCGTGCGTGACTCACGCCTGTAGTCCTAACTACTCAGGAGGCAGAGATCAGGAGGATCATGGATGGTTCCAAGCCAGCCCAGGCAAATGGTTTGCAAGACCCTAACTCCAAAAAGCCCAACATGCACACAAAAAGGGCTGGTGGAGTGGCTCAAGATGTAGGCCCTGAGTTCAAATCTCAGTACTGCAAAGAGAGAGAGAGAGACAGAGAGAGAGAGAGAGAGAGACAAAGTGGGGAGGAATGGTCAGAACTGAGAGATCAAGTAGGGGGATACAGGAGACAGACTGATATGAAGGCAGATGTAGAGAAAGAAAAGTCAGGGATTGAAGAAAGGAGAAAAGCCAGGTAGCACTGGCTCTCCCCACTTAATCCTTGTGGGAGTTATAGTTTTCTAGATGTGGAATCTGAGTCAGAGAAGCCAAACTCCTTTCCCAAGGTAAGTCAGCCCATACTGGAGCCAGGACAGCCTGATTCAGTCTAACTCCAGAGCCAGTGCTTCTTCCAGACAGAGATGTGCTCATCAGGGAGAAGAAAGAGCTAGAGAAAGGTAGGGAAAGACCAGCGTGGGAGGAGTGACTGAGGCAGGGGCCACCTGGCTAATCACAGGACCCTCTTCTTCTGCCCTGCTAGGTGAAGTGTTTGGACGCACGCTCATTGATGTTGGTTCAGGCCCCACTATATACCAGCTGCTCAGTGCCTGTGCCCACTTCGAGGACATCACCATGACAGATTTTCTGGAGGTCAACCGCCAGGAGCTGGGACTCTGGTTGCGTGAGGAGCCTGGGGCCTTTGACTGGAGTGTGTACAGCCAGCACGTTTGCCTCATCGAAGGCAAGGGGTGAGGGCCTGGTGGGGGGAGGCTTCCCGTGGAGTGGCCAGTGGGGCGGGGGGAAGGTAGCAGAGCACTGACTGAAAGCAGGACAGCCCTGAGCCCTGCCTTGTGCCCCCTGCACAGAGAGTCCTGGCAGGAGAAGGAGCGTCAGCTGCGAGCCAGGGTGAAGCGGGTCCTGCCCATTGATGTGCACCAGCCCCAGCCCTTGGGTTCTGGGAGCCTGGCACCTCTGCCTGCCGATGCCCTGATCTCTGCCTTCTGCCTGGAGGCTGTGAGCCCAGACCTCATCAGCTTCCAGCGGGCCCTGCACCACATCACCACACTGCTGAGACCTGGGGGGCACCTCCTTCTTATTGGGGCCCTGGAGGAGTCGTGGTACCTGGCTGGGGAGGCCAGGCTGGCAGTGGTGCCCATGTGTGAAGAGGAGGTGAGGAAGGCCCTGGTGATTAGTGGCTATGAGGTCCGGGACCTTTGTACCTACATCATGCCTGCCCACCTTCGCACAGGTGTAGATGATGTCAAGGGCATCTTCTTTGCCTGGGCACAGAAGAAGGTGGGAGTGGAGGTGTGAGGACCCATGTGCCCAGTGTCCACCCAGACTCCCTATTACCTAAGGTGGCACTTAATAAATCATTCCTTGCTACCAAGTGTCTGTGGTCTGTGGTTCTCCTGGGAAGCAACTCTTCTAAGAGTAGGGGGTGGGAGGCACCAACCCTAGTCTTTCTTGTCTTTTTAAAATTTTTCCAGAAGCCTCCATGAGGGTAGCATTCTGTACCACTCACCCTTCCCAAACTCAGGAAGGCCAAGGGCACGGGAGCACATTCAGCACTGCTGTTTGCCAGCAGTGTGTAGTCACAGCTGTCATTCACTTAGCCCTGGAACTCAACAGTGGGTCTTGGTAGTTTGTTTCCAGGTGAAGCTCAGAGATGTTAAGTAACAAGCTGTAGTAAGTCCGATTTAGACCTGAAACTGGAGAGTGGGGAGATAGGCGGAGTCAGAGGGTGGTGGGGAGGTGGAAACCAGAGAGAGGTTACAATCCAGGCACAAACACAAGCCCAGGAAGTGAAGGCAAGGATCAGGCCAGCTCACTTACCTAGGCTGGACTTGAGCTCTGCCCAGTTCTGCGCCTGGCCAGTTCTGTGCCAAGGCCCCCCCTCCCATGCTTTAGTATAGAACCCACTTCTGTCTGCTGCCTACAGCCAGCACTGCCTCCTTGTTCCCTCTAGCCTCCACACAAGTGAGCCAAACCAGGGTGGGTAAGGCCAGGAATTAGTTTATTAAGCATGTCCCTTGCTACCTCCTCAGTATCAAAAGAAGCTAACATAGGCCACCCAGGTCCCTGAGGCTGGAGGCCTGGCATAGCTCCCTTCCCCCTAAAGAGGGATGGGGATGCAGGGAAAGAGCAAAACTCCATGCTTCCTGCTGCAACATGGACTGCCTTTGGGATGGAAAGGTTGTGGCACTGCACTCTACCCTTTAAGGGCAGGACAGTGCCTTGGACTGCCAGCACTACCAGGGGTCACCAGGATGGCCCCTACCTGGAACAGTGAGCCTCTCTGGGGAGGGCAGAAACCAGACTCAGCCACAAGCTCTTTCCCCTCAAAGTTTTGATTGTGGTACCGGGGCTAGAGCGGGGAACTGAGCAGGGAGGCCAATCATGGCGAGGCAAGGAGACAGGGAGGTGGAGAGGGCCCTGGGATCCTCACTTGCCTTCCCTCTGTTCCCAGGGGGCTGATTCTGGAGGGTGCTCTTAAGTTATGTTGGGGGCCTGTGAGAATTGGAGGGGGACAGCAAAGGAACATGCATGCATGCAAGCACACAGGCTTGACCCCCAGTAAGATCAAGTGTGTACCCTGGCTGCCAGCCTGGCTGGGTTCTTGCAGACTTGGTGTTCAAGTGACTGCTGCTGGTGATGGTTCCCCATGCTGCTCCAACCTCCCGCACTGTGCAGGCATATGCACCTGCATTCTCTCACCTCAGACACCCCCCCACAAGCACACAACATTCTGTCTATGTACATTTCCAAATCCATGCTCACCCACCTGCCCCCGACCACCTCCCCTACACTGCCCCAGGCCTGAGCTGAACTCTCCCATGTAAGTGTGTGCACACATAAGCCCATACTCAACGCCCCACCTAGTCACCTCTGCCAGGCCTGGCTCACAACCCACTCCACACTGATGTATCAGCTCCCAGCCAGAACGGCAGCACAAGATTCTTGTCCCGGGCCTTCTGGGGTCCTGGCCCTGGAGGTGAATGTGAAGATTCCCTGGGAATGTGGCTGGGGCAGGAGGCAGGTGAAATCCCTCCCCAATTCCAATCCCAGCAGTTTGGTCCCACAGATCCCATGGGGACAATAATACTGGTCTTCAAACTTGAGCAGGTGAAAAATAGGCATCCAGTGCCACCTAGTGGTGCTATAGAGGAAGGCAGGGGTCACGGACATCCCTCTGTACCCCAAAGGCCTGTGGTACCTGGCATCCCACAGGGGCGGGGGGAGGGCTAGTGGGGAGAGACAGAGGCAGAGCTCCTCTGGGTAGAACTTGGAACGTGGTCCCAGTCCAGTTCAGCTCCAGGTACTGAAGGTGCTGCCCAGATGCTGGGAGGCTATCCCTAGAACAGGCTGAGCCCTGTGAGGGCCAGCTACATGATTCTTGGCCCACACCCCTCATGTTCACGTTCAAGAGGCTAAAAAGAGAAAATAAATCATCTCAAGGGGGAGGAAGGAGGAGGAACCAGTAGGAAAGGAGCAGACCCATTCCCAGGGTCTTCAGTCCAGCTTGAATTTGGCTTCCAATTCCTTTAGCAGGTACAGGCTGTCATCCTCCAGAAAGCTGTGGGCCAAAGGAGGAGCCACCTGAGACAGGAACCCAGCTCTGAAAACTCCCTGGGGCAAGTGGAGTGAATGCAGGCAGGCTGGGAGGGGGTGGTGGGCGCATGGAACCCCCAGTGTCCCCTAGGAGCAGGCAAGGAAAGGCACAAAGGTGAGCACTGGGCAGGGCGTGGCACTAACCTGAAAAAGAGGATGTAGACAGGAATGGTGCTGATATGCCAGATGGCATGGGCGTCCAGGACCCAGAAGAGGGGTGGGAAGTCAAGCAGCTCAAGCAGGGACAGCCCCTGCAGCAGCAAGACCACCACCATGCACTTGCGCACATGAGGCAGCCGCCGGTGGTTCCGCAGGCACCAGGTCAGCCACCATGCCACATTAACCAGGCCTGGGTGCCCAAGGACAGGAGAGCTCACTCCCTGGACCTCCTTCCTGTCCCCAGGCTACCTTCCCAATGTGCTTTGACCCTGGGCCATCCTCAGTCTCTCCTAGCCTTCCTTCTCTTCCACCTCAAATTCTTCCCCTTCCTCCCTGCCAAGGGCCTCTCCAGAACCTCCTGCTTCAGGAATCATACCCACACCCCCGAAGTTGTGAAGATGGCCCAGCCCCCCAGGCCTCAGTCCTGCCTCACCGATCCCCACGTTGGCCGCCAGGTTGTAGCCGTAGTCGAAGTGGATGAGGCTCAGGTAGGAGATGTGTGCGGTTAGCAGCAGCAGCAAGAGGGCCCGGAAGGCACTGGCCACAGCTGGGTGTTGCAGCCCCACCGTCCTGCCCCACCACCCAAAGCAGCTCAGATGGGGGGTGGTCAGGTGGCTGTCCTACTCCCCAAGCCATCTCCTCCCCAGTGTACGAGTGGCTTGCTGAAGCCACTGCCCTGTCCCCTGCCCAAACAAGCCAGCTGGCAGCCCTCCTGCCCCAAGGTCCTGGACCAAGTGCTGCCACTCCTGGAGAAGCCAGCACTGCCCCTCTGGCCTTCCCATCCAGGGCAGCTGGCAATATGGAGGAAGCCAGGGAAGAAGGCCCTGGACAGCACTCCTGGGATGATGGGTGGCCCCTCTTTGCTCCCAGACCATGACTTCACCCCTGCAGTCTCCTGGGCAGGCTCACCTGACACAGCACAGGTAGACAGAGTGCAGGATGACAGCAGAGGCGCAAAAGTAGTCCATCTTCTGAGGATGGAGAATGTCCGTGGGGACCATGATAGGGAAGCAGGACATGCAAAAGCTTTGTGGGGGGCAGAGCCCACAGAAGAGCCACCGGGGATGGGGCAGGGAGGACATGGGGCCTGGACCTGCAGTCAGTGGAAACTCTGTCTTGTCTCCCTCAGCCTATGGCTGCTTCACTCTTTTTTTTTTTCTTTTAATCGTTTTTACATTTACTCACATGTGTATGCACTGTTTGGGCCACCTCCCCCCCCAGCCCCCACTGCCCTCCGCTTCACTCTTCAATTGTACCAACTGTCCCTGTGTTTAAAACCCTGTTACACAGTGTTTTAAAACCAGGAGGCAGCAAGGTTTTTTGTGGCATCAGTGGCGCCATGAGCGTACACCATCAAATTCAGAGTGCTGTCCAGGGTGTAACGGCTGTAGACTCTGGTCCTGATGGCATCCCTGTACCAGCTGGGTGACTCTGAGCAAATGACTTCATCTCACTGATACAGAACAAGTCAATGATGAAACTACCTTATAACCACCAGCTGAGGCTCGAGTGTGCCACCAGGCTTAGGTGGTACAAATACAGGTGACTCCTTAGGTGGAGGTGTTACTACACTTTAGAGTCCCCTCTGCCCACCCCTACTGGGCTCCCCTAGGACTGTCCCAGGAAGGGGGTGGGGGGAACTCACCTCTGTGAGATCAGTGTCCCTGGTGTGGAAAACTGTGGACCAGAACCAAGCATTGAGGGACACCTGAGGAAGGAAGGTCCAGTGAGCTTGCAGCCCCAAGGTCAGGGAAACCCAGAGGGCCTTTGGGAGAGAAATGTGCTTTCTGTGTCCCTGAAGCCCTGTGAACAAGCCTGGGTCCCCACCCAGTCCAGCTCCCTCAGGTGGACTTCCTGACCCCCCAAACTACCACCCCAAACCCCAAGGCCACGGAGGCTACAGCCTCCACAGGTTCCGGCCTGGCCTGGGAACCAGTCCCGGCAAAGCAAGTTCCCTGGTTACTCAATTGCTAAGACAACAGCCCCCAGGGGCCTGCTTCCTCCCCCAACTGCCAGGTGATGACAGCCCCACCCAGGCCCAGGGGAGCTGGTGACCTCAGTCTCTGGGGGCGGAGTGAGGCGGGTGGGGTAGAGGGGCTTGAGCCAGCTTGGGGTGTGTCCCTGAGCAAGTGAACAAGGGAGGGAGGGAGATCAAGCAGATCTCACTGGGGCCCAGTGCCTGAGGAGGACAGCAGCCAACCTAGCCAGGCTTCCTCCTGGCTTGGCCAGCCCAACCCGCCAGGCCAGAGGCTGGGCCCAAGCCCTGGGAGGAGCATGGGCTGGACTGGGGGGCTGTGACAGAAGGGCCCAGGAGAATGAAGTGAAGAGAGTAGGAATCATCTTGCAAACAAGCGGGTCTTGTGGGAGTTGCTGGCACTTTCTTCGAGGACGACTGTGTCCACAGCAGAGGCCCAAGTTACTAAAGAAGGGTGGGCTGGGGTGGAGACAGAAACAGAAGCCTGGGAAGCCAGGACAGCCAAAGGAAGGAACAGCAGGGCCAAGCCTGGCGTGCCCTGGAGGAGGGGAGGGATGCTCAGGGTAAGGCAGATCTGCCAGACATGAAAAGGCCAAGAGCTGCCTGCCTAAGTACCAGGACAAATGGCCAAGGAGGGTGAGAAGCCACTCTGTAGGATCCTGAAGCAGGAGGGCCAGAGGGACAGGCATGTGCCCCTATGCAGGCATGGAGCTAAGGAGAGAGTGGGGATTGCAGGGTGGAGGAGGGGCAGGGCTCAGGAAGGCCAGTCAGTCAGGCACTCTCCTGCTGCCATGCTCAGCTCTGGGAGGCCCAAGGTAGCCAGGCTCTTCTGCACTCTTGACCCTGACAAAGGTCCTGCCTCTCAGCCCAAGCTTCCTTCTGAGACAAATCAAGGTTGGCCCGAGTGATCTTCACTTCCTTCCCAGCCTTGACTTTCTAAGTCAGGTTGCTTTCCTCCTTTGAGGATGGCCATTCTGACCCTGCCTCCTGCCGCCAGGCTCCTCCTTGCTGCTGTCCCTTCCCCAGAGACACTTTGGAGGCTGGGAAGTAGGAGTAAACCTGCTGGCTTCTCAGACATGGTTCCCACACAGCCTGTGGTGCATAGGGTTAGAGCTGGGACAGGAGCAGCCCCGAGCTCAAGACAGGTGCAGGCGACAGATCACCTGGACAAGGCCAGGCAGGCCAGGCACAGGGACATCTTAGGGAGAAGAGTGGCCCTGATGTCAGTGTGGGAGGGGAGGAGGGGAAAGCATCAGGGCCTGGCAGCTAGCCAGGCCTCCTTGTCACCCACAAACAGGAAGGGGGAGGTGACAAGAGGAGCGAGCTAAGTGGCAGTTGGAACACAGAAAGCAGGGAGTGGAAGTACACTGGGCTAGGTCTTAGCTTCATGAGAGAGGTGGGGACTGCTGGGTGCCCTGCCAATCGGCCTCCCCTCCATTTAGAGACCCAACTGAAGCATTGACTCTGCACCCGTGAAAAGTGTCCCCTAAGCAGAGTCCTCTTTTGACTCTTTCCTCAGACTTGGGAGGTAGTGCCATTAAGAATGTAGGCCTTAGCTGAGTGCTGGTGGCTCATGTCTGTAATCCTAGTTACTTGGGAGGCTGAGATTGGAGGATCTATGTTAAAGGCCAGCCTGAGCAAATAGTTCAGAGACTCCATCTCCAAAATAACCAGAGCAAAATGGACTGGAGGTGTGACACAAATGATAAAGTGCCTGCTTTGCAAGCACAAAGCCCTGCATTAGAATCACAGTCCCACCAAAAAAAAAAAAAACAAAAAAAAACAAAAAAAAAAACAAACTGCAGGCCTTACAGCCATACTGCTAGGGTTCAAATCCTGGTTCTGCATTTCCTTTGTGTCCTTGGACAAGTTATTTAGCCTTGCCCATGCCTCAGTTTTCTCATCTATAAAATGGGAATAATCATAGTGTTGGTCAGAATTTGGTATTTAGTATAAATACCATGTACGACATGCTGCCCAGGACAGAGTAAAACCTCTGTGTTATTTTCTCTGCCTCTGGACCAGCACTGAACCCTCACAGCTCTCTGGAGACCTGGGAAAAAACAGACCAAGCCTTTCTCCCATTCTCCCTCTAAGCCAAGAAGGTCTAGGCTGAGAAGGGTGGTCTCACTTAGCTGTGAGCCCACCTGATAGGTCCAGACTTGGGCAGAGCGTCTGGAGTCTCTATGAGACAGACCCTGAGTTCAAGTCCTGTCTCAGCCCCTAAAATAGCTGTTCTTCTTATTTTAAGGCAGTACTGGGGTTTTAAACTCAAGGCCTTCTTGAGCCATGCCCCCAGCCCTTTTTGCTTTAGGTATTTTTCAGATAGGGTCTTCCACTTTTTGCCCAGGGCTGGCCTCAGACCTCTATGCTCCTACCTCTGCCTCCCACATAGCTAGGATTAAGATGTGCATCACCACTCCCACTTGCTTTTGAGATAGGATCTCCCTAACTTTTGCCTGGGTTGACCTTGAACCATGATCCTCCTATCCCTACCTCCCACCAGCTGGGATTATAGAGATAAGCCACTATACAAGACCCTTTTTTTTTCTTTTTTTTGAGATGGGGTCTTGCTATGTTGCCCAGGTTGGTCTTGAAGTCCTAGGGTCAAGCCATCCCCCTGCCTCAGCCTCCTGAGAAGCTGGGACCACAGGCACATGCCAACACACCTGGCTCAGATGCATGTTCTTGAACAAGTAACTGCGCTTCTGTGAGCTCAGTGGCTTCACCCACAAAACAGGGTTAAAACAGTACACACTTCATAGGAAGGCTGTGAAGACCATGTTATATATTGTGTGCCACAAAGGAGCCACTCCAGCTTTGTACACGGTAGATATCCCATAAATGTCCCTTTCCTTCCTTATGTTCAGTAGGCTGACCCTACCACTTCCCTTCACCTGATCCCACCCCCAACTTCCCTTTCCTCAAGCAGTGCCAGGTTCAAGGCCAAATCACAGGGTTCCAGGGTCTCTGGATCCCAGAATGTAGATACCTCTGCAATGGAAGGGGCCCCCACTCCTTGTTCCTGAGCCACTAGCCCAATAGTACAGTCCTGACAGACAGTGTTTTTCTTCAGAGTTTGTAGTCAGACACAAGCATGGGACAGATGGACGTGAAAGGAAGGGGAAGCCCCAGCCGCCATTGCACGGCTGTTCCAGGCAACTCTGCCAGGCTAGAAGGGAGCGGGAGGGGCAGGCAGGGTAACCAGCTGTGGGGAGGTGGGCTGGTCCAGGCACTAAGAACTTCAGCAAACACTGAGGAAAGGAGGAGGCAGAGGCAGGGTGCTAGTGGGGGCGGGGATAAGGGGACAGGGAGGACCGGTGAAGGGAGGCAGGAGGCTGCTTCAGTCTGCTGGAAAATAAGAAAATTGAGACAAAAATATCAAGTCGTGAAACTGGTTGGATGCCAAGTGAGCCAGATCTGTCAGGAATTCGACCCCAGTGCTAAGCCCCAGTACCCGGGGCTGTCATTGACACCATAGTGGTGGGGACAAGTGGGTCTTTAAATAGCCTGGAGTCTCAGAAGTGGGGGAGGCAGAATGCTAAAATATGCTGCCTGATGCCACCCCGCCCCTCCCTGGGGCCACAGCGTCTCACTCTGTGCCTCAGGCACAGCAAGCCTGCCCTAGCTCACTCCTGAGATAGCAGAGGGTTTTCTGCCATTAAAAAGGATTCCTTGAATTCCTGCCATTGCCTGCTCTACTGGCAATGGGAAGTCCTTCTTGAAGTCTAACCATTGCTCTGTTGTAACCTCAACCTATCTCCTCTTGTGGTTTCCTCAACAGAGATGACACAGTCAGTCCCCACCTTCATAAATCATCCTACAGAAACAACTTGGGCTTCCCTGTCACGTCCTCCTCTCACATCACACTTGAAGACCTTTCCTTATTAGATGAAGAGGTGGGAAACTGATTTGGCTTGTTAGCTTTGGTACAGCCAGGCACCCTGTTGCATGAAGTCAAAGGGTTATGATGTGCAGAGATTTTTTTTGGACTTCCCAGCCCTGCTTGGTGCCTGCACTGCCCAAACCCAGGCCTAAACAGCAAGACAGGGGGCCTTCTTCTGCTGAAGCTTCATTAGCCCCATTGGGAGACAGGGTCTCTCATTTTCTCAGAGAAAAGACTGAAACACCCCTACCCCAAGATGGAACCCAGAGCTGGTGAGGGGCCTTCCCACTGTACCCCAACACAAATCAGGAGCCCCACTTGCTCCAGAAGACCCAGTTCAGGACAAAGTCCACTGTCACACCTTCCAAACCACATGGGATCCTCCCCTTCTGCAGAAACACACACAGGGCTCAAGAGCAAGTGTAAAATCCAAACTAGATGGACCAGGCGTGGTGGTGCACACCTGTAATCCCAGGATTCAGGAAGCTGGGGCAGTAGGATCAAGAGTTAGAGGCCAGCTTGGACTACATAGTGAGACCCTGTCTCAAAAATAAAAACAAAACAAAGTAGATCATCAAAGGGGAATGGGCTCCACTGCTGTGTCCCTTGAGGGTCTTATGATAGCACAAGAGGGATCCTATGATGCAGAGCCCAATATCCTGCAGGCCCCTCAGCATCCCCTGTTCCTTTACTAAGGGAAGGATGCCCTTGGGAGGTAGAACACCCCCTCTCACCAAGATGGAAGCTGACTCACTGATAACAGAGATAAAAGATCCAAGAATCAGGAGGATGAAGGCCAGGCAAAGTCTGGGACCCTCCAACCTGTCGTCCAACCACAGAGGTGCTGAGGTTTTCTGAGAGTCCAGGCAGAGCTTCCCTGAGCTCTCTAAGAGGGGTGGGGTCGGGGTGGGGAGTGCAGGCTGTAGACCCAGATAAGCAGTGTCCTTGGAAGAACCCCAAAGGAGAGAGGATAGGCCTCCTCAATTTCCCTGTTCTTCCTGATTTCTAGGCCAGAACCAAGTTACTTTCTCTGTGAGAGGCCTACACGGTGAGTAGCGGCTCTACTGCACCCATGCCTGTGGCACCAGTGCTGTATGCTGATGACCCTTCATACGGCAAAGTCCCAGTCCCAGCCTGACACTCAGTCCTCTCTGCACCACTTCATCTCTCTCTACTCCCCTTCCTATAGCCATTGTAACCAGACTGACCCAAGGCTGCCTGTCTGGGTCCCTCATGTTGCTCCTGAGCCCCTGGCCTGGAGTACCTGAATCCCATCTCCTCTCCACCATATGTCTGTGTTTAAGCCTTGGCAGGCCTGCAAATCCCCAGTGACACCTGTCCTCCCTGGGCGTCCCGGGCACTCTCTCCCTATTAGAGGATGTGCCCCCATAATACCCCCGGCTCTCAACCTGGGCCTTCCTCAACTCTGCCTGCCTCCTGCCTCCCAGGCTAGCCCTTGCATCTCCTACTACGTTTCGCTCCTTAGGGCAGGGGCTGAAGCCCCGACAAGTGCCAAACCCTGTCTCTGCCCATCACAAATGCTCAGTCAGCACTCATCCCAGGACAAGGAGGCAGCCCAGACTGAGCAAGCAGGCTCTACAGTCAGACATGCTGGAGGATAGCCCTGTTCCCCCACTTGCTAACTTGTTAGCACTAATTTGGGCCATTTTCCCCACTCTGAGCCTTTCTCAGAGCTCAAAATAACACGATGAGGATTATGTGAGGAAATGTACGTAAGGAGCTTAGGGCAAACTCATGATGTGGTTTGTGTTCCATATTCTTTTTTTTTTTTTTTTTTTGCAACAGTCTCCTATATAGCCCAAGCTGACCTGGAACTTGTGATCCTCCTGAGTGCTGGTATGGCAAGCATCTGCCATTGTGCCTGAATGTTCCATACCTCTTAACAATTACTGTTAATATTTGTTGAGCAACAAGTGTTAGAGAAGACCAGTATTTCCCAAAGAAGGATGTTAAAAATCCTTCTTCCATCTTCCATTTCCCAAGACAGGCTCAGCTGGGACTTCTCAGCACACCTGTGCTATTAGTGGTCCTCAGGGACCTCCAGCTGCCAGGTTCAGGGGCACCCTTCTGTTCTCATCTCCATCTAGCAACATTTGGGAGTGTGAACTATTCTTTCCTTCCTGTCCTATCCTGGGGCTCCGCGGCCCCCAATCTCCTAGTCTTCCACCTGCTCCTCTGGCCATTCCTCCTGACTTCATTGCTAGTTTATCCTCCTCTATCCAGCCAGGATTCCACCCTAGACCCCTTCTCTTCTTATTGGCTAAGGTCCCCCTTGATGGCCTCATTCACACTCACAGCTTCTGTTACTGTCTCAGAGGCAGGAGCACAGGTTCAGCCTTGGCGCCTCTCTCTTCAACCTAATCTATCAATGAGATTTGTCCATGGAGCTAGACAGTAAGAAGGTGGGCTCTGGAGACAGAAGTCTCTCCTTAAAACCTGGCTCTGTGACCTAGACTAGGGTCCTTCACCTTTGCAGCCCTTGGTTCCCTAACCTGTGAACTGGGGATGACGATCATACCTACATCTAATAAGCTTGTTGTGGGGTGAACAAAGTTAATATTTACAAAATGCTTACAATGATGCCTGGCAGACAGTAAGAGCTATGTATGTGTTTGTTGAATATGGAAATATGTAAAATTTAAAAATTTAAAGTTTTAGTGTCACTCACTCCTGAAACACAACTCAAACATACTTCTTTTAAAGTCCATGTCCCAGGCTACTCTCTCGTGCACTGCTGTGGCCTCCAGCATTTGCTCTCACCCTCCAAACTTTCTTCCACATGGTAGCCAGAGGAAGCATTCATGACACAAAGCTATTCACGAGACCACTCCTTTCCCCACCCCATTTAAAATCTCTCAGCAACGCCATGGTGGCACTGGCTTGTAATCCCAGCATTGAGGAGGCTGAGGCAGGAGGATTGTGAGTTTGAGTTTAGCCTGGGCTACAGAACGAAACCCTGTCTCAAAAAGCCAAGGGCTGGGGATGTAGCACTTGCACAGTGTGTGCAAGGTCCTGAGTTCAATCCCAGGGTACTGCAAAATAAATAAATAGATAGATAGATAGATAAATTCCTCAGCAAGCCTGGCATGGTGGTACACATCTATAATCTCTGAAACTCTGGAGGCTGAGGCAAGTTTGAGCTCAGCCTGGCTTACATGATTACACTCCATCTCAAAAAAATAAAATGAAATTCCTCAGCACTTCCTGACACTTTGAGACACAAGACCTAAAGTGTTAAGCTGTCCAGGGGCTGACCCTGGCCACTGCCTACCTGCTCGTCTGTTTCACATCTCAGTTCTCCCCAGCTTCCTGTGTGGCAGGTTCCAGAGGAGGTCTTGGGAAGACTCCACAATCCCAGCAAGCTCCCCACCACCCGTCCCCGCTCTGTGCTTGTAAACTTCCCTGTTGAGTCTTTTAGGACAAGGACACTGTTTCTGTCCTCCCATCTTTCCAAGGAGACTGGACTAAGACTCTGCTAGAAGGGAAGGCCTGCTGTGGCCCCTTTTCGGTTTTCCCAAGCCTGACCCCTCACAGTTGCAACTTCAGCCCTGGAAAACAGAGGAGAAGCTGGGCAGCTAGAAGCTCTGTGACAATGGGGATCTAAGAGTTCCACCTTCCCAGCTACTTACCCAGGCGAAGGCCACGCATGTATGGTACATGGGGGAGGAGGCTGGCACAGAGGTTCGGTAGCGGCACAGCATCACCAGGCTGGCCAGGCCATTGAGGAAAGAGGCCAAGGCAGAAGCTGGCTCTTGCATGAACAGGAATCGGGAGAAGGGCCACTGAAAAAGGAACAGATGGAAGGGGACTGAGGAAAAAGCAACCCCCAACTGGCCCCAACCACCTTTTCTTAACATGCTGTGTCAACAGATCTCCAGCTGATTCCTCAACTCTGGATTTTGGCCAAAGGTTCAGGTTCTTTCAGGTCAATGAGCTACTATACAGTCATCCCTGGTTAGGGTCATATCCTTGTCCTGGCCAGCACACACCTCCCTGTGTCTGGGGAGGGCAGGTGGGCCAGTGTAGATGACTCCTATGGTTTGGTGGAAAGAGAACAGACCTTCCATCCAGACACAGGTCCTAATTCCTCCTCAACTGCTTCCCACAGTCCTCAGTATCAGCTCACTCTACGGCAAACTGGGGAAGGTAATTCCTGCCAACCTCAACAGGCTAAAATGAGATTAATAGTGGATCAAGAAGCACCTGGAAACTGGACAATATGGGGGGGTGTGGTACTGATATTAATTCCAGACCCCTACTGCGGAAACAATAGAAAACATGCCATGGTGAGTCAGAACTTGTCCCTGTAGCAAGCTGGCCATTTCAACCACCCAAAAAGTCCAATACCACTCTCAGGAGACTCCAAAGCCTCTCAGATCATGTTATTCCAAATCCAGAAGCAGGACACGTTAGGATCCCACTGGATAATAGGAAAATCAGAATCTGGGAGTAGGTCCTGCCCCAATCACACCCCCATCACCTGTCATTAAAGACTGCTTGGACAGTTGGGCCAACTACAGGGCATGTTACTTTCACTATTCCACCACCATGTACCTTCCCTGACCCTCCAACTCACCTTGCCATGGAACTGAGGCACTCTGTGACCTTCTTGGAGGTAGAGGCCAACGGTGACCCACATACACTCATACTTACAGTCATCTCCACAAGTCCAGCCTGAAACAAACAAATGGGGCCTGTGGACTCCCAGCCCAGGGAGGCACAGAGAGAGCCTGGTGGAGTCTAAGTACAAATAGAGGTCAAGAGGGCCTGCAGATTGGAGAGAATCAGAGGAAATCTCAAAATTCTAGCCTCCCACTTGGGTAGAGGAGAGAGGGTGAGACACACACAAGGGGAAGGTTTGTGTATTTATGTAAGTGGATTTCAGGGATGGGAGCAAATGGACTCATCTTTTGAGACCTAGGTATATGTTTGTCCTTCCTGAACACAAGATTTACTTCTACTTCTGTCTTCCCTGTCCTGTGCAAATGAAGCCCAAATCCTTCAACCTTACTTTTGAAGTTCCAAGTTGCCTTTTCCACCTTTATTGCCACTATTCCTTGGTTCCCTAGGTAAACCAAGCTGCTTGGTGTGCCCACATCTGCCCCGGACTGGACCTCCACTCTCTCTGTTCCTTCTGTTTGAAATGGAAAGGGGTAGTAACAAGGACAAGATTGTGGTCAAACAGTACAGAACTAGAAACTGCTTCACCACTTATAGGCTGTATGACCTTGGGCAGGGTACTTTTCCTCTTTGAGTTTCCCCAACTGTAAAAGGACAGATAAATTGCCTCAAAGGGTTGTGGTAACCTATTCTGACATATGTCACACAGTAAGTGGCAATATATTGGTTTCTCGCCCACTATATTCCAAGTTTAATTATACCCATCTGGAAGTCCCTCCTTCATAAGTCATATGGAGATCCCTGCACTACCCTTCAAAGCCAGAATCCATTCTTTCCTCTTCCAAACGCATCTAGTGCTTAATCTAAGGGGCCTTTAGGCCTCAAATCATTCTCTACTTGGGAAGGCTAAGGTCCCACTGAGACCACAAGCCTGCCCTTGGTCTGATTTCTGTGTCATTCCAGGAACTGTACGCAGGAAGTATTTAATAGTGGTTTGAAGTAAGCTTCTGGGAAAGTAAGACAGGCTGATGAGATCCCCACCACGCTGGAAGTTCCACTCACTCACACTCAAGACACCCAGTGTGGAACCTAAAGTTGAGATTTCTGGGTATTGGGGTCGTAATGGGAGGTGCCAAGACCAATAGGAGGAGCTTACCCAGGGGGTGGGGCTTACCTGCTAGGCTCATGTAGATTGGCTGGCGGGAGCGGAAGTGCTTCAGTGCGCCTCCTGAACAGTTCCGCTCCTCGCACCGGAGCACGCAGTCGCGGTACACCGGCTCGCGATCACCCTGGGAGCCGCCTGCAAGCGCTATTGTCCCGGCTAGCAGTACCAGCCACGCCGCCCGGCCGGCCATCTCGGCACTGTGGCTGGCCGCCGAGGGAGGGGCTTAGGAACATGTGAAACTGCACTTCCGGAGTAACCGGAAATACCTGTGTTCATCATTGAACCATCCGCTGTCAGCCACCTATTTTAAATGAAAGTTCCCGGATTTTTGTGGGCGTCTGCTCCGCCCCTGGTCCCACTGCCATTTCCACATATTAAGGTCATATCCTTTAGGGAAAGGGGCGACTGGTAGGTTAAGAGCAAAATAATTTTTTTCTTCTCCAGGATTTCTTCAAGTAGGAGTTAGAAATGCCGTGTCCAAACATTGATCAAAGAAACAAGCGGGAGTCGCTCATTAAGACAAACAGAAAAGTTTTACTTTTGCAAAAGGGTGCCGCCACAGACCAGAGTCTGGTAGGCAGAATACACTGAGTGGAATCAGCTCAGTTTTTATCTCTCTCTTTCCCTCACTCCGATGGACAGGTTTGGGTTCACAGTCTTTGCGAATGGTTACTTAGAGAAGGGGCGCGTGGGGTAAGGGGGACCTTGAAGCAGGAAGAAGGAAAAATTGTTT